GCGCGCCCTCTCGACGACCACGTCGTCGTCGCCGACCAGACATGCGCTTGGCGAAAGTGGGACTGTCAGTGTTACGCGTACGCAGCATCGCACTGGTGTCAAGCTCTAGGAGTGTATATTACGCAGATCAGCGTATAGTGCATGTGCGGCCGAACAAACGAACGAGGTTCGCATGGCGGCGAGCAAAGCGTCTGGATTTGTGGGCAACAACTATTGCGGAAGGCAACACACTTTCTGACACCATTTACAGCACCAACGTGGACTACGGCGGTCCAGCGATATGGTCGATATCTCGCGCGTGTGCAGCGATAGGGGGTCGAAGGAGTATCTCCCGTCACGACGCGGAACCGCCCTCGCCTTCTAAGTGGATGTCGAACGCTTCGACTGTGGGTGCTCTGTCAAGAACATTAAGCACCCACCCAACACGATACTCTTGCTAGCCAAGAGACTATGTCTGATGTCCGTGAAATCAATGGTGCCGCTGGACTGGACAGTCTCCCCATTCACGTTCGACCATCTTTTCTCCCGCGGACAATAGATGCACATTCGACTGTGACTGATCTAAGAACACACACCTTTCTCGACCAGAATAGAAACCACCTCGCGCATCTCGTCCCTCTCCGCCTCCGCCCGCTTCACTTCGTCCAGATAGCGGTCGAGCTTCTCGCTGAGCTTCTCCTTCGCGCGCTTCTCCGTCTTCAGCTCCTGCTGGTGCGCGGCTCGCGACGCGTCCAGCTCGTCGAGGGTCGCGAGAAGGCGCGTCTGCATCTGGGAGAGCCGCATGTTGCAGTGCTCCAGCTCCTTGCGGAGCCGCGCGACCTGATAGCCGTCCCGGTCAGCCACAGCTCGATCTCCGTAAACCGCGCAGCACTTACCTCGGCATCGCGCCGCGTACTTGTGCTGCCCTGCGGATCCTGTTTGATACCGGGCCCCATTGCGAAGAGTTTTGTATCCAAAATTACCGATAAGTTACGCGTAGATGTTGACAGTCAGGAAGAACAGAGTCACACAAGCATCAGCAGAGCATCCAGAAAGCAAGAACATGGAAAGCGAGGCGGAGGATAGATCGAGAGCGTCGTGGTCAAAGGACAAAAGCGGCCGGCACAATACCAACCATCCGGCGTCTACAGAGAAGCGCCTGAAACGTCATTAACCGACGTCGCAGCAAACGCTCCATACTGATCACTTCCCTTTGACGAGTACTGCTGCACTTAACCCAAGTAATCACACCGCACCTCATAGCATGGCCGAACGCCTACGATTCGATTAGGATCCTCAGCGCGCTTGTCCGCAGACAGGAGTATTTAAGTATGGTAGCACAGGCACAGTAAGTGTAAACGAAAGTGGAGTACCATGATTAAAGCAACACAGAGACATATGTTTGGAGAGATAATAAGGAGAGCTAGAGGGGGGAAGCGAGGCTTATGGCAGTCACTCCCTGCATGGGCAGGAGGCGCAAGTCGTCCGTCTCGATCTTGAGCGGGACATCGCCGTCAAGAAGGGTGAGCACCTGGCGGGAGTCAGAGTCATACTTTGGCCAGGATATCGTCTTGTTGGACGCGCCGTTGGGATCGAGGTGCGTCGCAAACTGGACGATGTAGTCCGTGAGCTCGTTGCCAGAGACGAGAGCGGGAAGGAAGTCGCTGCCGTGGGCCTGTGAAACAAGTTCTCAGTTGATCAAATCGTCCTAGATTAAGATTCGCCTTCGATACTCACGTATCCAAGGCCGGGGATGCTGCCGCGCTTGCTGACTGTTCGCCCGTATGTGCTGCTCAGTATGGCTGAATCACGGTGAGACAACGATGATCATACGCACTGAATGACCAAGTGGGCTGCTCGGACGACCGCTGGTCAAGAAAGAAGCGTCTTGGACCCTGGAAGATGGCATCGCCCTGAAACGCAGCCATGCGCTTGTACATCGGCGCGAGCTGGTCAGCATCGCCAGTGCCTACAGGCGAGCCTTGAGCGGGATCGTTGGGGTAGAGCTCAAAGATAGGCGTAAGCAGTTCCTTGGGTGCATGCGAGAAGAAGAATTCATGAACATAGTCGCGGAACTGCTCCTCGGTACTGCATATCGTCGGATATCAGTCTTGGGTTAGACATGAAAGCAGTCGAGAGAATACTTGCCTGACGTTGAAGCTCCCGGTTGCGAAGACAGTGCCCTCGTCGAGGGCGTCGCCGCTGATGAACGGAATCTTGGCGACTTGACCGGCCTGCACCAGATGCTGAGGAGGGGCTGTCAAGAAGACGCCATCTGCGCGAGGAGCCCAGGGAGTAGCGAGACCCTGCCACGCGCCAATGAGTTGATCCCGTCTCACTCCATGTCATTCTGGAGGACTCACGGGATATTCGAAGAGGTTAGGCAACGTGGCAGCTGCAGCGCTCACAGTCTGTGGCGGGACAGTGCGAAGGCACTCAAGAGTATCCGTGGCGTTCGAGCAGCCAGCGTGCTCCACGATCTGGTCGTAGTACTGCTGCTGTTCGGTGATATCGCCAGTGGGGATTGGGGATCCGGCATTCATAACAGCACCGCGAAAGAGGCCTTCGTTGTCTCCGCCGTTCGTGACCATCTGAAGAGCTGCGGAGATGGCGCCAGAGCTAGGACCCCAGCTGCGAGTCGAGTAGGAGGTGGTCAGTTTCTGATAGCGGATTCGAGCGAAGACATACATTGTGACCTTCGTGGGATCACCACCAAATGCCGATATGTGCTTCTGAACCCAACGAAGACCCTCACGTTCTACACGGCCGTGAGGAGGATATGCACGGGTTATGATGCTCAAGACTTACGATCGTGCAGGCCCAGATTGCCGACACCTTCCTCCTTGACTTCCTTTCCACCAAGGAACCCGAAGGCTAGAGAAGGGCTGATCAGTATACAGTCCAGAAGAAGGAAGACATACCCACGTACCATGAAGGCGATAGTTCATAGCAACGAAGATGACTGGCTTGCCAAGCTGTACGGACCGTGCTACCACGGCATCACCTGGCATCCTGTACTCTCATCAGTCTCATCGCTAACCATGCGCTCGCGGAGGAGACCGTACTGGGTGGTAGAGCCCTCGGTGAATCCGCCTAAACCAGCAGAACGCGATCAATCACCAATGGAAACGAGAAGGTGCAGCGCACTGCCTACCTCCGAAGATCAACTACAGAGCTGGTCAGCAACTGCCAACCTCGTCAGATTGTGCCGTGACTTACGACGATGACGGGAAGGTTGTCCGCGGGCGTCGCCTGGACCGGAATTTGCACATTAATATTGAGACCTGCCGTCGCCTGTGAATCCGAGCTATACCGGTAAGTTAAATCGAACACGTACAATCTTCGCTCTGTGAGGCAGGGGCGCTCGATGCCGAGATCCCGACGTATGTCTCCATGTCTTTGAGCATCTCCGCGGGCATGTCCGTGCGAAGGGGCGGGATGAGCTGGATGCATTGAGTGGCAGGTTGAGTGGCATTGATCGTGCCGTTATAGCCGCTGACAGGCTTCGGGAGACGCAGACGAAGGTCGCCGACTCTGTGTAGGAATGAATTTTCAGTAAGTGAACCTTGCAATAGGACCAAACGAGACGTACGGTGCCTCCGCAAAGGGAATGCCCATGAAGCTCGTCACCAAGCCATTAGTGCTGCCGACGACGGTAGCCTGGTCTAGTTTGACAGTGGGCAAGGATGGGACACCGCTCGTTGAGGACGGGACTGCTGACACGACGCCGAGGACGACTGCTAGCTGAACGAAGAGAAAAGGACGGGAGAACATCTCTGCAAGATAGAGCAAAGGTAGAGCAGGGAAAAGACACAGAAGAGAAGGGGAACGGAGGAAAGTTGGGGTGGGATGGGGCGCGTCGCCGTAAACTTTATAGCTTCCTGGGCAGTCCGTGCGGGTCAGCCATGGCGTCCTCGGTCTTCGTATAGCCGTTTCCGAACAGTGTGGCGGGAGTAGTCAGTGTCACGGCGCACACCTCATTGTGATGCCGACTCTCTACGTCGCCCTTCGGAATCCCAGGAGATTACGCAAGCACTTGAAACCCCGAAGTCAGTATGTGCGCGGCTCATGGACGCTGAGGTTTAGTGACGCGTACCACCAGATCTATCAGCTGAGCGGGTACATAGTCCGACCAGCAGGAGCCCTGTTGCCCGCCTGGTGCGTGTGACGCTGTTTCATGCCGGTGATGCTACCTCGGAAGGGTCACCTAATGGAGAAAAACGGCTAACAGGGATATCGCTGCTCGTTTGTGCGTCCCAGCGGCACAGGCTTGGTGGTACATGTCAGATGCGCGCATCGGGCATATCGGACTTTCCGACTTCAAGTTTCCGTCACCTCGGGGTTAAGGTGACCATCGTGCAGGACTGCGGCGGTTGTGTGTGGCGGATACTGGATGTGTAGTCATCATGTAGAGGTCGGCCAGGTTCACAAACGAGCCCTCAGACCCACTCAGGCTGTCCGACCTGGGGTCAAAATAAGTACACCATGGTGCCAGTGTACATACGCGCGCGGCGTACAAGTTACACGTATACACTTCGGCCGATGGATGAAGTCCGAGGTACTGGCAGTCTGGAGGCCAGCGGGAACGAAGCCGCGGGCGTCGGCACTCAATACAGCTGCATCAGTCGAGAATTTGAGATACTGTACCGCACGTACAGGTCGAGCCTGAGGCAAGGTGTTGCGTGACGCGCGGCCTATCTCGTCGGCGAGGAGACTTGCCGTGATTGTCGCTGCGGTGTCCAAGGTGTAGTTGCCGCCGAAAGTACCACCTTCCTTGTCAGAGTACTCCCTAGAAAAGGGCAGAAGTGTACGAGTACATGTCAATGTCATGGTTCGAGAAGGACCTGACTTAGGCGGCAGAGCAGAAGTTCAACCGCTCAACGAGCCATTCAAATCGAACGAGCTTAGGAGCCTACTTATGATGTGCTAAGTGACAAGCCGTGTACCATTTTTCTTTCACCTCACATGCGTTCTTCAAGGCAAACATGCGAAAAACTTGGGGAGGCGACATAGAGCAAAAAGGGCCCAACCGGGAATTGAACCCGGGACCTCGCGCATCTTGTGGTCGTAAGACCGGGAAACTCCCGAAGCGCGAATCATACTACTAGACCATTGGGCCGATGATGTAAGAAGCGCTGTAAGTTACAAGAGGAGACAACGCCCCGGATCCGAGCTCGTCATCGCGTCGGTTACAAGCGCTCATTGAACTCGGTCTACCATAAGCGTCCACCACCATTAGCTACCAATTCCACTGCACACATCAAGGCTAGCAGACAACATGGTAAGTGCTACTTGTTTTTGTTTAGTCTCTACTTACTCATCAGGATGTTCTCCTTAGTACGGTGACATCGAGGACCTTGTCCTCTCGGGGAAGCTGTTCAATCCCCCATCGCGTTCAAGCTCTCCAGTCCGCTCTCGGTCGCCATCTCCGGGACCAGCCCCATGGCCAACCGAAGCCGACGATTTCGAATACGACTCTGATGCGGAGCGACGCGCAACGGTCGAGGCGCACCTCGCGTCACAGCAGCAGCAGGAGTCCATCGGTATGGGCCCTGGCCGGACGGGCGTGAAGGGTGTCATTCGCGACCGTGCAGAGGCGGAGTCTCTCGCTCGTATGAAGCGGGGGAATGAGATCAGGGAGCTAAACCGTGCGATGGAGAAGGCGAGTCTTGGCGGCAAGACGTGGAACGAGGAGGAGAAGGAACGACTCGCGAAGATCGCCGCCCAGGAAGGCCGGTCGGCGACAGGCGTGTCGAGAGCGGCGAGGAACGGGAGGTATGGGCACCTGCGGGAGGTTGGCGTGAGGAGCTTTGTGCAGGCTGTGGAGGAGGATCGGAATGTCTGGGTGGTCGTGCACATCTACGATCCGGTACGTGATTCCCTGTACTCCTGCTTGTCATGGCCCGTCGCCACAACGAGGACACACTTCACCGAATGCGTTCGGTTGTGCTGACTGCTGTCCTAGTCCTTGGATCGCTGTGCTACCGTGGATGAAACATTATCTCGCCTCGCGAGGGCATACCCATTCACGAAATTCTTACGTGCACGAGCCGGTGCTATCGGATTCGCATCGTCAGGCGGTTCCGGACCCAGCCTCAGCAAACCCTCATCCCTCTCAATATCGCGCTTCCCCTCTCGTGGTCTTGTTACTCGGCCATCTCGAATACAAGAGAGGGACGAGTTCTTCGACGATGACGTGGGGGATGAGAAGGACGGCGGAGACGACGATGACGACGATGACGATGCAGCGGATGGTCAATGGGAGGACGATGAAGTAGATACGGACATGCTGCCGACCCTTTTGGTATATCGCGGTGGCGAGCTTGTGCACACTTGGATTCGCGTCGACTGGGAGGCGAAGCAGGGTATTGAGGAGCTTCTGAAGAGGTGCGTACATTGTCCACCCATAGTGTGCTGTGCTCACGCGTGTTGTTTCCTGTATAGACACAATATTCTGACATCTCCACGCCACTTCGGCGGCGCGACGGGGAAGGGTCTGGATGATGATGATTTGTCGGACGACGGCGAGGAGCTCGTGTTCGGGAACAGCGATGACGAGCGATGATCCGTTTTGCACCTTGGGCTTCATCTCCAGTCTGCACTGTGTTGACATCGATGCTTGTATACCCATCTGTAGCCGTATTCGACAACCCCCTTCGGATATTCAGACTGTCGGACACGGCGTCGAGAATCAGCGGGTACGCCGTCCGCATCTCTCTTCCGATTTCACTTCTGCATTGGGTCTGATTAAAGCAGGAACGCCGCGCTTCGAGCTCATTTTTGATTGCAAACACGACTTTGAAATCTTTAATCTGACTGCAGAGTTTGCAACCGAGCCTCCGTTTGAAACCAGCCTGAGGAAGGCGATCAACACCCAGGTTGGCCCTAACGCGGTCACGGCGGATTACAGTCCAGCCCTCCCTCTTACGCACAGCAGTCCGGATTGCAATGCCGTGCCTCAGGAACGCGAGTCGGATGGCTATGGTACGTATCGGGCCTGATTTGCGCTACAGTGCCGTGGTGCGGAGGGAGAACCATCCGACTACGATGCCGACTGTCGAGCTTCTCCTGAAGGTCTGAGAGCTGTATATAAGGAGGGACGGTCCAAGGTCAAGGTCCTCATCCTCCCATCCTCTTCTCATCTGTTCCTGGCGAACATCTTGCGCTGCACCCTCTCAGACATCGCCCCATCACCCACCACTCCTTCCTCACGATGTCTACTGCCGCCGATACCCTCCCCGACTTCACCGGCTGTTTCGTCGACAAGTACTACGAGCTTGTCCAGATGCTGGGCGCTGGCAGCTTCGGTGTCGTCTACAAGGCGGTCGATACCCGCGAGTCTCCCGACTCGGACTCTCGCCACCGCGCCGTCAAAATCATCCGCAAGGCGGGTCGCTCCCCGAAGGAGCTTGCAATCATCCGCCGAGAGGTCGCGCTGCACTCCATCGTCGCCGGCCATCCCAGCATCATCACCATCCACGATGCGATCGACGACGACGAGTACTTCTACATCATGCTCGACTACTGCCCTGGCGGCGACCTCTTCGACCATGTCGTCGATAAGCTGACCTACGTAAACAACGACGAGCTCCTCAGGAGGGCCTTCGTCTCCCTCATCGAGGCGGTCCAGTACTGCCACGAGCACAAGATTGCTCACCGCGACCTCAAGCCCGAGAACGTCCTTGCGAGCGAGGACGGTTCGAAGGTCTTTCTTGCCGACTTCGGTCTGGCCACTGTCAAGCGCATGACAGACGAGCATGGCAGTGGCACTTCCATCTACATGGCACCTGGTAAGCCCCATCTTCTCCCAGCTCTTGGTCGACCGCGACTGACGAACCCCCTTACAGAGTGTCACGGAAAGCTCTATGGCTACAAGCCGTACTGTACCCGCACCGCGGACATCTGGGCCCTCGGGGTCATCTTCGTGAACATGCTCAGCGGGCGTAACCCGTGGGAGAAGGCCTCCATGAGCGACCTGGACTTCGCCGAGTTCATCGACGACCCCGACTACCTCTACGACGCCCTCCCCATCTCAGAGGCTGCGTGCGACATCCTGCACGACACGTTCGCCCTCAACCCGCTCAAGCGCATCACCCTGCGCAAGCTCCGCGAGGCGGTCCTCAACACCGAGACCTTCTTCCGCCCTTCGGAGGCGAAGACGTCTTCCACTAAAATGTCCGGGAGCTCGTCCCTCGACGTGCCCCCTGGTCTCTCCCCTCCCAACTCGCGCTGGAACGTCGAGGAGGAGGAGGACGATGAAAGCCCCCTTGTCACCCCGACGGGCTCGGCTGCCGGAAAGTCGACGAACATCGAGAAGGTGGATTGGAAACTTGGGTCCACGGCGCAGGTGCTGATGGCTCGCCGTCGTCTTGAGGAGCAGCTGGGCTTGTATTAGCCGCACTACACCTTTACCCATCGTCATTACGCTGCCCTCACATTGATTTACGCGTTGTCATGTCCACAACATATCATTATTCATTAACTTATGGAAAACCCCCACCTGCTGTGTGCCTACTACAGCAGAGCTCTCTTCTGGACAGAGTCAAATATAGATACTGTGTCATACGCAATGTCGGACAGCATTGTCACTCGAGAGCTAGGTACTGAAGTTCCGTGGCTCTGGTTGTCCGGAGGGTCCATGTGGTTGACTTATGTTCGGGAGAGCTGAGGCAGTGTAGGGCGACGCACCGCCACCGCTGACTGGGACGCGCCGTGCGGCCGATGCTCAGGCTTGTACTACATACTGTACTCGGACTCCGTCTGTTAAGCGTAGGCCTCGGCCCGCGGGGTCGACAGAGGTCAACACACGATGATCATCCCTACGGTGAGTGCTACGTGTAGTGAGTAAGTACATTACTTTAAATCGTATGCGTCACCGCACTTCCGAGTCTCGGACGCAGCCGGAGTGTATCTCTGCTTTAGCCTTTGACAAGCTAACGACCGTGGGGGTATAAAATGCGTTACGACTCCGATCGGAAGAGAAGGAGTCGTGTTCGAACTTCGGTTAGTCCAACCGCTGACGCAGTCGACCCGGTGGCCCACTGCCGACAGGTCCACCGCCCCCGCTCGCCAATATTCTAAGATGGCCTGCGGCTGCGGCCGCTTGGGGGCATATAAACCCCTCGCGTCTGCTGACATTCTGGCCCACCAAGGATATCTCGCTGATGGTGCCGCTTAACCGTCTTCTGTTCTCTCTCTGGCAACTCTGGGCTCTGGTACTCGAAACGGATGCATATAGACTCCCGGATCCAGATCAGAATCGCCTACCCGTCAAGCTCGACCATGCCACGATCACTGGTACTATAGATGGGTCGGTAGAGAGTTTCCTCGGGGTCCCATATGCACAACCTCCGTGAGTAGCGGTGTCTCCTCCTATCTTACAGGTACTTAGTACCACTGACTATCGTCCTCCAGCGTCGGGGACCTTCGTCTGCAGTTGCCTCAGCTCAGGGAATCCTACAACGGGACGCTTGATGCAACCATGTTTGGGAACAAATGTTTCCAGCAGGCGTCATCAGCACTTGGAAGCTTACCTCCCGAGGCTGCTCAAGGTTTAACGCCTTTTCTTGAGTTTCTGTCGCAGACGGCCAACGTGACGGAGAGCGAAGACTGTAAGCGATCTGGCTCTATTCTGCTCAATACTGACTCCTTGAGATTTTGTGGACTGATTAGGTCTGAATCTCAACGTTGTCCGTCCAGCGAACGTGTCCACGGACGCTAAACTTCCCGTGCTATTCGTACGTGTCAGACTGAAGTATCACCAAGCGAATACAAAGCTCATGTGACTCGACAGTGGATCTACGGAGGAGGATTCACAGACGGCTCAAACGCTATGTGAGTACTACTGTTGGCAGGATACCGTCTCCTCCAGTAAGTATTCACGTTAGTTCGTGCTAGAACTGCCTATAATGGTAAGTGGAGCTTCCTGTCATGTCGTGATGGATTTTCATGTACATCCGTAGTCTGAATGCGTTCGGGTTCCTCGGCGGTAAGGAAATCAAGGAGGCCGGTCTCGGGAACCTCGGTCTGCAAGATCGTGAGTTGCTGCGAATATTAGCTTCAGTTCTCGAGACTGACTACAGTCCCAAAGAGCGCACCGCCCTTCGTTGGGTGCACAAG